ATCTCGCAACTTTTTGCGGAAGATTCGCAACGGATGCGAGCGGATTTCCGAATTTCCGTGGCCGAGAAAGCATAAATGAACGCGCGCACGAGACGTTGCCCGATATCTTTCGCCCAGGTGCCATATATTCCTCACATAACTTGTTAAAGCGAACGCGAGAAAAATGATGGCACGATGAGGTACCTATTGTAGGTGTTTTCGACTCATAAAATTATGTAAAGTTTATTTAATTAAAACTTTGTGTATGTACCTACGTGGATCGTCGTTTATGGATCTAAAGGGACACTTGTTCTTTTCTTTTTCGACTTTGAATTTTTTTGTAAAATTTCAATTCAGACGTAGTACGTCGAGCGATAATTTCCAGTACGATTCCTATACAGCAAAAAAAGTTGAAACAATGTTGCCAAGACGTTGCAATATGTTGAATGTTGAATATTCAAGTATAAATATATTTCTAACGTTGAATCTATGTTAATCCCATTGATTCTTTTTGTTGATACGTGACAACATGGAACAAATTATTAAATCTTTTCCGCAGTGATTTGCAACGATGTCGCTAAACGGCGCATGACGACAAGACCAACTTGTAAATAAATTTCAGTTGGGGGCGAATACAAGCAGGCCCTCGGCAAAGTAAAATCGCCATCTTCCGCGGGTCTTCGGACCCGGCGCTTCTTTTACATCTAAACGAATAATCCAATCTGAGCTCAGAAAACTTCCAACAGTTGTGAAAAAAACACATTTTTCTATAAGCGCGGCCAATGTTGTTCAATGTTTAACAATTGTTATTGCATTGTTTGCAAATAAAGTGATAGATAATATTGAGCTGCCCAAGATGTAAGCTTAGACCGAAAACGGCTTGTATCTTGATCGAAAGTAATACAGAATTGGAGAGTAGGTATTATAGAATAGAATACAGACCGCGGTCTGTGTGTGTGTGTGTGTATTTTTTAGCGTTGCAGGAATCATTACAGTCACGATTCACTGTCGTCAGCGACAGAAGTAAGAGGGCATTTGATTGCACATATATTACAAACAACGTCTGCATCCTCGAACGACGTTCTACGGAAACAATATTCGTCGCAATTTGTAGAGAGCCCAGGACGAAGACGAATGCCTGTAATTTACGAGTTGCGATTTGCAATGCAAAAAAGAGTGGCGAATAGAGATTCGGCGTTGTCGTTTCATTTCGTCTCCTCGACATTCGTGTTTGTCCTCGACATATTGCGCTGCTCCCTGCTCGCTCGAGTAACGATGAATCATTTAGCGAGCCGTGTTCGCCACCACCGACTCTTAATCAAGTCTTTCCGTAGGAAGCAAGACGGTAATCTCTCTCCGAAACTTTCCGCGAAACTTCCGAGATTTATCGGGGAAATAATTTATTTACCCTACGGTAAGAGCGGTGGCACGGCGCGGCGGGCGGTTGTGTCGCGTCGCGTCGCGTCGTGCCAGGACGTCGCGATTTTCATCCCACCCTCCTCCCTCGCACCAAAGTGCTTTGATAGTCAATATGAATCTGCAATTAATCCCGTGATGTCAGCGGCGTGCGCGCTTAAAAGAGAAATATTTGATTTAACATTCCTGTAATCCCTGAAATGATGCAAATATTCCCTCTCCTAATATCTGCGTAATTAATATGCGATTTCCAACTTTTACGACTCGACGTTTAAAATGGACGACATACAATACACGGCGTGATTGTTAATCGAACATGTATCTTTTTAGGAAAACCGAACTTGTAATCGTTTCCGATGCAATATCAAAGTTACACAACTTTTCCCACGCTGTCGTTGGAATTCTAGACGTTCAGCGTTCAGCAAACGCGCCCGTCGCGCGTTTATCCATCTGGATAAAAGTACCCCGGCCGCGCGCGGCGTGATTCTGCTTACCGTACAGTTAAACGTTATTTCAATTACGACACGTTTGATGTCGTCTGGCGCCAGTTTTACGGTCACCGGCGATCGTAAAACCTTAACGGCTGTGAAATCTAAGCGGCGATAAGGTGGCGCGTAGAAACGCCGTTTACACGGTCCAATCGGCCGGAAATCAATTCATCGATTCATTGGAGAACTCTCCCGCGCACTACCACAACGACACAACTCCTTTGTTTCGTCCAACGGTTACGTTGCATTTGTCATCGCATATTGACCATTCACTATTTAGTGCGGTACGGTTAACATAATGGCACGTCTCCGTGGCGTCGCGCGGCGCGACGCGCGACTGAACTCTGGTCAGGGAGGAAGATGTTCCGGTTTTTGTTTGTTTGAAAGAATTCTGCTTAAACCCCTTGGCTGCTGCTAGGCGAAAAAATTGCTTTTGACAAAAGATTAAAAGATGCTTTCTAGGGGTTTTTTCAGTCGCTGAATCTAAATCTGAGGTCAAAATTTCAAAATATAAAGTGGCGGAAAACGTTATCGAACGTCTTATAAATCAATTTTTATGTAAACCGAGCGATATTATCAATTTTGCCGTCATATCAAATCTGTCATTTTAAATTAACAAATTTCAATTTTTAAAACGGATTAGCGGCTTTGAAAACTCTAAAATTTTTTATGCAAATTGAACCATATTTAAAATTTTTTTCTCATTATATTGACGTTGCCATTTTGAATGTTTGTTTTTTTATTTTACATAAATTTGCAAACAGCGCCTTTGAGAGAAACCTTCAATACAACGTTTTATGCAAATCGAACAATTTTTTACATTTTCGGCCATATTGGATCCATTATTTTGAATTTCGCAATTTTGATTTCAGATTTGAATTCAATGACACCAAAAACATTTATAATCTCCTTTGTAATTGCTGCGATGTAATAAATATCTTTTCTGTATCTGATGCGGATATTTCCGTCATTAACACACAGTCAAGAGGTTAAAATACATCTACATTTTATGAAAGAGCTAGAAGATTAAATAATTTTAAGAAATAATTTCAAAGACAATCAACATTGTAAATTTAGAAAGTAATAATTGACTGCGCGTGAAAGATCTTTTAATGTCGCTTGCTGTGAAGAGTAGGTACAAATAGGAATCTGAAATTAATGCAAGTACAATACGTTCGTCGAAATTTAATACGAGCACGATTAAATTCTATTGAAGAATCTAAATCCGGGATATTTTTCTTTTTTCTCATATTTTTACATCGTGTTCTAGGCGCAACGAGAGTCGCGCATTTGAAAATTATTTTCTCTGCGTTCAGTTTTTGATCGCCGCAGTTTGATGCTATATTTTTTATTGCTCCCGATGCGTGATCCGCAGAAAAACAAAACATTCCACTCCCGACCATCTATCTCCCTCTCTTTTTCTCTGATTTTACCTTACGCATGGTGTGTGCACGCGGTACATTGTTGTATTAAAAAAAAAAAAAATGGAATGGAGCGCGCAAATGGAATATTCGTGTTGTTAAATCCGGAGGCCGTTGGATTTTCATCGTACGCGATGAAACCTGAATACGTCCCCGCGTATTCGAATCGATTCTCGGGTCTTTTCACCGTTTCGAAATCGGTCGTCGTCTCGTTATCGGCAGTTTCGAGCGGTTTATATTCGCATGTAACTACGCGAATCGAGTGCGAAAGCATTCGGCTCTCTTTCTCGTTTCGTCGTTTCATCGACTCGTCTCCACACGGGAGGTTTCTCCCGCCTTTTTCCCGTTTCGCTTCCCGCCCGCTTCGGTTCATTACGATTTATTATACTCGTTATCGTCCCGGGTCGCGAGTTACGCGTCCGCGTAATTTCGCGCGGATATCCGCTGGATTGAGTCGCCAAATGACGCTTCAGAACGCCATGTCCCGTACTCGCTTCCACGTGCGCTCCCGCGCTAATTAGAATTTATGACGAGCGCACTTTATCACCCGCTAAATTTAGCCACGAGTTTTGCGCGAAAATCGTTTTCGCCGCGCGCGCTACCCTGAAACTGCGCTTTTTCGCGCGATTACAGTAAATCGCTCGCTGTTTAGCGAGTCATCCGCACGATATCGAGATAATATGCGTTATCGGCCACGATGGTGTAAAATATTTATTCCGTACAACTGCACATAATTGTTCATAACGATTTAAAAAGTGGTACGTGACATTTATATATAAATGTTTACGCTTTATTCTATTTTAAGATCTCTAATCTTAAATTATCAGTTTTTTTTTATATAATATACAATATAAATATTCCGCGTCAAGTTAAAGAAACATTGTATATGTAAATGTGAATAAAACTCAAACAAGGTATTAGTACCTATACATAAATTACTCTGACCGCGCGCAGAGTGATAATTTTACACTATTTGTTCTGACGGACAGATCATTGACTCGATGTAATTTATGTAAAGATACCCTTAAATATCGATATTATATTTTTAAATATGATAAAAAAATCAGAGAAAAACTCGTGGATAAGGCTTAATAAGATTTATCGTGTCCCTAATTAAAAATGCAATCGCTTGAATTAAATACGCTGACGCTTGGCTCGTATAAAAGCGCATTTTATCTGGCGCTTCTGCGAGGCAGCTCTTAAAGCCTATTTCGAGCAGTTTGCTCGAGGGTTTGTTTGAATCCGTCTCGTCTGGTTTTCGTCAATTCTAGAGGGACGTCTCGTATTCGAGGCTCGCGAAAATGCAATCTTCGTCACGGAACTTGCATTTCCCAGGATCGATCTCGATGCTTCTGCGGATATCGCGATTGTTTGTTTCCGTTCCCGACAAGGAAATTTAAATTTATGTAAAGTGTCCAGATTTTTCGTACAACTATTTGGAAAGATGAGAAGCATACACCGAGATAGCGCGTTCTGCGAAGGCTCACTCAACTCTATACACGTCCTTAATTACCGTTAATTATAAAAGGATTGATTTTATGAAATTTCTCGAGTCGTTTGTCACAACCTTTAAGGAAATATTTGAGATATATATAAATCATGTTTACCTTTAATTAATATTTGGCGAATCATGATTAGATTATTAATAGGATGATCATCATCTGATTTAAATGTCTCTGATTACGCGTCTGGTTACATGCGTTGTTTTACTAACGACATTTATTACGGTCTATTGAGATTAAGAATACTGATCTTTATACGCATAATTTGTCGTGTTGCAGGTCGCAACGAGTTGATCGCTCGTTATATTAAATTGAGGACCGGTAAAACGAGAACGCGAAAGCAAGTATCTTCGCATATACAGGTTCTCGCGAGAAGAAAACTCCGGGAAATACAGGCAAAACTCAAAGTGGTGAGTATATCCGGTTTATATAGTATGTCTCCCAATCGCACGTTCTACAGTTTCTTTTTTTTTTTTTTTTTACGTTTATTGTCGGTTCTTTTTCCTTTTTTTTTCTTTTTTTTTTTTCAAATAACGCCACATTGAGCCCCACCTATATAGCAATGTAGTGCATCTCGATTGCGTTTTTTGCCTTTTTCGTGGTGGGATCGTCAAATTTATTCAAACCGATATAAATTTTGTTTATTTGTCTAAATGCGATGTGCTGCGATTACCAAAATTAATTGTACGACAATAGCGGTTTAACATGACACATTATTGTAATAATGAAATGCGAAATAAACGCTATTGTACAATTATTCGTTTAACAATACTGCAATACTCGATGACACGTCGTGTCATTTGATAATATATTAAATAAAATATTGCACGTGTCGTATATATAAACGCGATACTTGGCACGTGGAATTGATATTTGAATCTCACATGCGGTGGATTTTTATTTCTCTCTGAACTGGTGCAGCTAATATACCGAAAATTCGATCAACTGAATTTATTAGAGGAATGATGGTCGTACATATAATCGAACAATTATACGTTTCTTTAATATTATTTTTATATTATTTGTTAAATACTGATATATATAATTTTTTTATGTTGTTTTTTATACTGTCATTTATTAAGTAATATTCCATTAATGAAATGAAACAAAGACGTTCACTGAAGGAAGACACGATTAGATTGTTTCTTGTATTCTTTTAAAAGTCTTAAAAATAATAGAGAATAAAATATCATTAGAAGAACGATGTATGCATATATATTGTATGGAAAGAATCTAATTTGATTATATATTATATTACATATACATATATGTGTAATGATTTTTTATCGTTCGATGTCAAAATATTCTTTCCTCTATATGTTGATTTCTTTTGTCTCAATGCATTTTATTTTCAATAAAATACACATTTGGCATCCGAGAATTCTGATATGCATATAAAAAACTTGCGCGTTTCTTCACCAAACAATATGTATCTTTTACAAATAGGTAAATCGAATACTCGAACGAAATGTTCAGCATTGGGATAATCAGAATTCTGCTGTATTTCGCGTTTCGCACAATGTTGCCTCAGAGAGCATAGTAGCGATGATATTAAATCGCGATCGGCGATGTACGAGCATTAGCGGGCGATGGCCGTTGCGGAATCATTTTCAATGAGAGGGCCAAACACATATATCGAGGGACACACATATCGAGAGGAGCATTGCCGCGGGATAAATCACGCGTAAAAATGAACCCAGCCCGTTTAATCAACAGCTGAATTATTAAAGCGATTCGCGAACAATTGCGCGCTGGTTAATAAATCAAAGCATGGCGGTGCAGCACGCGGTGGTACCACTGGTACCTCTATTTCGCCCCGATGGGCGGTGAAATAACGGGAGACAGAAGACACGAAAGAGAGCGAGAGGTTGGGGAGTGAGGGGAGAGATAGAGAGAAATAGAGTATTGTTTATACAGGATCGGTCAATATTCGGAATAGAAAAGAGAGGAAAAACAAAAGCGGAGCGTGTAAATTAACCGTGCGCGATTGCATGCAGCGCTCCGACAAAAACTCTCGTTCGAAGAAAAAAAACTGCCATTTAATCGACATAAATGGAAAATTTTTTCGGATATTCCGCGCAATCTAGATTGTTATTACCAAATATATAGTCGGATCGTTAAATATAATTTACCAATAGCGTTTATACCCATCTTCTTCCACTATCCCCAAGGGGTTACGTGATAGATGTAATTAATTAATTATCGCGTAAATGTATTACTCGTTTTTTCGATATTGATATAATTCAATGAAACAAACGTCAATGAAGGATCCTGCGACTCGAAGCTGTCGTAACATGTTCAAAACCTTTTCGGAGATAGCGCAGTCCTTTTTCATGACAAATGAAAGAATATCAAAGCACTATAATTGTTTTTTAAGTATAGGTAACCGATTAGAAATGAAACGTTTCATCAATTATATATGTTTCAAGGATAGACAAAAGAAGCTAACAAAACTTGAACTTTTTATTAAGAACTTTGAGTTTTATGTCGAGTTTTAGAGGCACGTGACTGCAATAAATGATAATATGCTTATCAGCATTCTTTCATAATCGTATCTTAAATTAAAATCTGCCTTTAACATTCCATATCCATGATACTGTCTTGCACGAGTACGTTAGCGTATAATGTATTTATAATGTTTTTATTTTTCCGCGTTGTGTCATTTTTATATTCTACTATTGCGCCTCGGCTCTTGGAGGTCCCAAAGAGTGTGGAAAAAACACCGGCGTTCCTCGAGCAATTTTAATTACGCTCGCGCGCGCGCGCACGACTTTCGCGTAATAAGATGTCGTCTGTTTCCGCGCGCGCGGTTCCGTACCACGATGCCATTTATGAAATACTTGCGCGGGTTTCCGTTTTTAAGCACGGTCAGCCGCAGCTGCAGCGACTGCAACTGCAGTGGCTGCATACCGTGAACATTATTCAGGAAAGTAGCAGCCGTGGGAGGGTGGTGTACGGTCTACCGTGACGTAATTTTCTGGTTTTCGTGTTTCAGGTAGGGTAAATGCCGCGCCGCGCCGCGACTATTGCTTGTTGCTTGTTGCTCAGAAAGAAGGGGTTGCTAGTGTTGCTACCCCGCCTGCGGCCGCGAACCGCGCGATTTATTCGACCAGGAAGGAAAAGAATTTCGCGAACGGCGTTCGTATTTCACACGCACCAGTATCGTCTTACACAAATCATGTGCTCCTTGCTTTCATATATTTTAAACAAGGTAGTATTAATTTAGAAGAACGTGTTTATCTCGTTGGAACATACGTGATCTGAAATTAATTAAAATCCGGTAAACCGTGGAAAATCCTATTAGAAAAAATTTTACTGGCTTTTTTTTTATTGAAACTAGAATTATATAGGATATTTGATTTTAACAATATATTTGTTATATGAAGGTAAAAATAGAACAGCATTTTCTTTTTTAATTTTTTGACATGATTACACTTGTTGCGAATTTTAAAACGATTCACCTGATGATACGTATCCATGCCGTCCTCCAAATGGTAGAACAAATAAGAAACAGAATTTAAGAGAGTACCTTAAAACTTTTTCCTTATTTTACCGTCGATCTTATGCTGAAAATATTAAATTTTCCGATTGCGATTTTCCGATACGTCTATAGTTTTAATTTGTCTTTCTTTTCGGCACATTTATTATTTTCTTTCATATTAATATTAAGACGCGTATTACATTTCGCGTGGACTCGATTTAGCTTTTGTGTTACACATTTTTACATACTGTCAAACGATATTACATCACCAACTATCACGGTCTCGCGAGATTGTTCGCCGTTTTATCTATTTTGGAAATAATTGCACCAGGCATTACGGCGTAATTAATTGTTGCGGTGTAAACGTACTTCCGATAACGGGGCGGGGGTGTAGCGGTAGAAGGGAGTTGTGGGAGAAGGGGGGGTGCCCAAAAACGGGCGAGCGTTTCAGAATGTCGATAAACATGTCCAACCCCGTTACCCGCCCAATCCTCTGCATTCCTGGCGTGTATTCGAGAGATGAAGGGCGAGAGAGAGATGGACACAGAGAGTGAGTGAGTGAGTGAGTGACTGAGTGAGAGAGAGAGAGAGAGAGATAGAGAGAGAGAGAGAGGGAAAGAGAGCAAGGGAGGGAGAAAATGGAAAAGGGAGAGAGAGGCAGGGGGCGACGTATGGGACGAAGGGTGAAAATTAAAAAAAACGACACGGACTGCACCCTCTCAATTAACCGAATTGATTTTCCGCTGCAAATTCAGCGCGCGCCTCGCACAAACGTGAACAACGGCCCGCGCAGTGAAATGGACTTTTTCTCGGGTAATCGATGTCATCCAACATTCATAAAAAATTACATTCTACCCGGCGAACGTCGTGCACGGCCGTAATTGTAAATCGACTTTACGCGCCGATTAATCTACCGATTCGCTCTGATGTCGCGTCGATTACGTTGCAAGGATACAAGTATTCACTATTCCGGATAGAAGCTACGTAATCTTTTATTGGAAGAACATGCGCGCGGTGGTTTTGAAACGTACACTTTGCGATGCCATGTCATTTTTGTGAAAAGGCGAATCAAATATCGTATCCGGGATTGCTGTGATGGAAATAAAAAAAAAAGAGATACGTATCATGCGGAAATTATCTGGTACCGATTCCGAAACGTGCGTAATGAATATGCATTATAGCTTGTGGCCACCGTCCCCAAATCTCTTGTAAACCTCGCGCCTCACGAAAATTAAGAATCGTTTCATTTTAATAAGCGACGTATCGGTGAAAGTACAGGGAAATTTAAATGACACATACCGCATATTTCTATTTACATTACAGCTGTCCAATAATTAGATAATTATGGGGGGGAATTCACAACCCAAAATTTTGTACATACCAATGCCGATTTTTGGCATTGCTGTAAAACACTGCCGACATTTTC